TTGAACAGTCAATAAGGCACAAAAAGACATTCTTCTGCTACTCCTTACTATCAGACAGGATCCATGTGACATCTGCAATGGTGGCGACACGGCCTCTTCTAAATCCCGCTTGAACTTCTGGCAGTTCTGTATCTATGCACTATTCCAGCTGTTTTTGAATGCTCTTTAGCAGTTATTTGTTTGCAAGTGGTATCAATGATAGTTTGAAAATTTCCACATTCAGTTGGATCACCTTTCTTGGGAATGGGAACAAATATGGACCTCTTCCAATCCGTTTGTCAGACAGCTGTCCTCCAAATTTCCTGGTAGACTGGTGAGCGCATCCAAGGCTGCATCCGTGAACTGAAACAAGTCAACTGGTATCCCATGGATTCCTGGGGCCTTATTTTTTGCCAATGCCTTCAACGTAGCCTCCACTTCCTCCTTCATTACCACTGGCTCCTGTTCATAGGGTAATTCCTGAAATTTTTCAGTGTCATTGAGTCCTTTTGGTACAGTGACTCTGTATTCCCTCCATCTTCATTTGGTGCCTTCTGGATCATTCAATGCATCGCCCATGCTGCTGCTGCTGTTTGCTGTCGAATCAAGCATGACTCCCAGTGATCCTATGAGCAGAAGAGCTGAAGCCTTTCTATAACTATCATTGTTTCTCCAAGTTCATGGAGTTCCCAGAGGAATGTGGTTTAGGAAGTGGATGTCACTCCTGCTTCCAAACCTGTCTTTATACTGGGAGCTCCACCAAACACTGTCCACCATGGGTAACTGTTAAGGTATTTGACACCACAATGGCACAAGGTTCACCATCACAGCAACCCCAGGTTACCTCAGTACAGTATATTGATACAAGAATGCTGTACCGCTTAGAAGAACGTTTCTTCAAAATATAATAACAACCGACTTTTAGATACAAAGGCCTTACATCAGATCTTACTGACTCTCAACAAGAGACTTAAATAAAAAACCCCAATATAGTGTGTTGGTATCATGTGTCATTGAATTGTCTGCATGGCATAGCGACCCTGTGTACAGCAGCTCTGAACCCTTCCCTATCCTGAGCCAGTCTCACTGATTCTGACACACCAACCCCCATCGCCCCAGATACTGTATCAATCCATCTCATCCATTGTTTTTCTCTTCTGTACTGTCCGTCCACCCTTCTGAGCATAATGTCCTTCTCCAAGGACCAGTCCCTCCTGGACACATGTCCAAAGTATGTGAGACGGAGCTTCCAAATCCTAGTCTTCAAGGAGAAACTCCAAGACAGACCTATATGTGTTCTTGGCAGTCCATGGTATGTTCAATATCTTCTCCAGCAGCACAGCTCGAAGGCATCGATTCTCCTTCTGTCCTTCTTAGTCACCATCTAGCTCTGATGCACAGCAAGTAATTGTGAAGACCATGCCTGGATCAGGTGTACCTTCGTCTCTACACTGACATCGTTGTTTTATTATTATTATTATTTTTTAAAAAAATTATTATTAATTTCAATGAAAATTTGCAGAGACTTGGGATTTCCATTCATTCATTGTTAAACTTTTCTCCCCTCCCAATCCTCCCCCCAGGACATTACCCTCTTGGAAAAGTATATGAAAAATTCTTTCATTGTTTTACAATCCCTCCCCCCAGGTCCACTGCACTATGCAGCCTTCACTCTGGACTCCTGTCATAACAAAAATACCTAATAACATATCCCTTTTAAAGAGTTTTCTCCCTCATCTGTTTCAATGCAGTATACATTATTGAACCCATCTTTCTCAGTCTTTCCCAACCCCGAGGTAAGTCCTGTTTTTACAACAGTGGCACCATGCAGTATTTGTCCTTTTGTGACTGAGATACTTCACTCAACATAGTGTCCTCCAGGGTCACCCATATTGCATGAGTTCCTTGTTTTTCAATGCAGCGTAGTATTCTATTGTGTGAATGTACCAGAGCTTCTCTATCTATTCGTTTGTTGATGGGAACTTAGGTTGTTTCCAGCTCCTTGCTATTGTGAACGAAGCCGCAATAAACATGGGTATGCATTGCTTTTAAGCACTCTGGAGAGGTCCATGACAGCAGATTTTCCCAATGCAATTCATCTTTTGATTTCCTGACTGCTGGTATTAAGAGTGTTGATTGCAGAGCCGAGCAAGCTGTAATTATTAACAACCTCAATCTCTTCTCCATCTATTATGGTGCTGCCAATTGGCCCAGGGGTGAGAATCTCTGTCTTCTTGATGTTGAGCTTCAATCCATATTGAAGACTACAGTCCTTGACCTTCTGCAGCAAGTGCTTCAGGTCTTCAGTTTCAGCAAGTGTGGTTGTGTCATCTGAATATCGTAGGTTGTTGATGAGTCTTTCTCCAATCTTCATGCCACATTCCTCCTCATAAAGCCCTCCTATCCGAATCATCTGTTCTGCATATAGAATGAAAAGGTATGGAGACAGGATGTATTTCCTGATTTTGAACCATGTAGTGTTTCCTTGCTCTGTTCTGAGGACTGCTTCTTATTCCAAGAATAGGTTTCGCAGAAGCACAATCAAGTGTTCTGGGATTCCCATTTTGCTCAAGGTTAGCCACAATTTGTTGTGATCCGCACAGGCAAATGCCTTTGCATAGTCAATGAAACACAGATGGTCATTCTTCTGGTACTCTCTGCTTTCTGCCAAGATCAATATTATCCACAATATCTTTCAATGTTGCAACACAAGTCTTAAATTTGTTTTTTCAGTTCTCTTCTTGAGAAATGTAGAGTGAGTTCTTCTCTTGCTATTCTCCAATTCCAGCATTCTGCATGTTTCATTAGAAACATTCTGCTTAGTCCTCCAGAGCTGCCCTTTGAAATCTTCTGTTCAGCTCGTTCACTTTGACATATTTTCCTTTAGATCTGGCTTCCTGATTCCAGTGCAATCTTTAGAGTCTTTTCTTATATCCATTTAGTTTTTTTCCTTTCTCCTCTGTTTTTGTAGTGATCTTTTGCTTTCATCATGGATAATATCCTTGGTATCATCCCACAACTCATCATATATTTGATCACTGGTGTTTTAATGCCTCAAACCTATTTTTAAGATGACCATGAAATTCAGATGGAATTGATTCAAGATCGTATCTTGGTTCCTGTGGTCCTATTTAAATTTTTTTTGGACTCAATTTGAACTTGTTTATGACTAATTGATGATGTGACCCACAGTCTGCCCCGGCCTACTTTTGACTGGCAATATTGAGCTTCTCCAACGATTTCTTCCACAAATGCAATCAGTCTGATTCCTGTGAAGGCCATCAGGTGAGATCCACGTGTAAAGTCATTGTTCTGTCTTTTTAAAAGGTATTTACAATGAAAAAAATCATTGTAAATACAACATTCAATGATTCTATTTCCAGCCTCACTTCTATCACCAAGCCCGTATTTTCCAAATACACTGTTTCCTTCTACACTGTTTCCCACTTTTGCATTCCAGTCACCAGTTATCATTAACGCATGCCGACGGCATGTAGTGGAGGGGACCTGTGTGACCAGGCCGTGGCCTGACAAGAAGGTCATGGTCACTCGTAGCTAACTTTCTGTGAGTGACCAGAAAGCCAGCTCAGTGACGAAACAAACATTATGTCAAGCTATCCGCTAAGACAGTGGCCGTGACGAGGACTGACCACAGCATTCACTTCCACAAATGGACCTGAATTAAGTCTCGACAATGTCCTCTTCTCCCCAGTATAGATAACTGAGACCCATGTGATGGAGGCCTAGAGGGACACCCCGTCCCCACATTCTATCCGAGCCCAGAGAGTGAATGAATGTAAACCAGAGCTCACTGGCAGCTGGGCTCAGGAGGGCCCTTCTGGCCACAGTACTCACTAGGCTGAGGGGCTCACGGTCTGAGGTTCCCAGCCATGATGCCCACTCCGGCCGCGGTGCCAACACCAGCTGTGGCGCCCACACCAGCCGTGGCGAGCTCTTACCCGGCCGTGGTGCCCACACCAGCCGTGGCGAGCTCTTACCCGGCCATGGTGCCCACACCAGCCGTGGCGCGCTCTTACCCGGCCGTGGTGCGCTCTTACCCGGCCGTGGTGCCCACAGTGGCCGTGGCGCGCTCTTACCCGGCCGTGGTGCCCACATCAGCCGTGGTGCGCTCTTACCCGGCCATGGTGCCCACAGTGGCCGTGGCGCCCACAGTGGCTGTGGCGAGCTCTTACCCGGCCGTGGTGCCCACAGTGGCTGTGGCGAGCTCTTACCCGGCCGTGGCGACCACAGTGGCCGTGGCGGCTCTTACCTGGGAGAGTGAGGCAGATGAGGCTGGCGATGAGCAATGTGACGCACATGAACACAATCAACAGGAAGATCTACGAGGGAAGGAGAGCTGTGAAGGGTCCACGGCCTCAGCACCTGGACGGTCCCCCCACGGCCAAGTCCTGGGCCGGCATCCCTCCCCGCCACGCCCCACAGACACGCTCACTGCCCCTGGGTTTCTGAGCTGTGAATCTTTGCAGGAGGACACTGAGAAGCTGCTCCTGGGAGTTGCGGGTGCACGTGGCCTGGCCCTGTGGCCAGCAGCCCTGCGTGGGACACATGAGGGCCCAAGGCTCCTTTTCCAGACACATAAGAAAGTATTTTAAGTTAATTTTAGGTAAAACTACATACAATGAAAGCTAACAGTAAAGTAAGCATACGCTTTCGTAAAATCTGGTACTTCTGGAAAGAACAAAAATATTTCTCTCTCTCTCTGTACCTTAACATGAAACTTAGACTGAATTTAATTTGAAGGTTACAAATGTAGTGACCCCCTCCCAAGGTCTTGAAAACATGACATACAGACTCAACAGACTTAGAGGCCCGCACTGGGCTTGGGCTGCTCCTCCCACCTCCACACAATGGCTGAAGGTCATGAGCACCAAGTGGGCAGTGTGGTCACTGTGGCGCGCGAGGCCTTGTGATGTCCACATCTACAGAGACTGGTGCAGTGGGTCCCAGTGATAGGTCCTGCTTCTGAGCCCACAAGTCGATGGCTGTGACTATGCCACCGGGACTGAGGCCAAGGGTTCGGGTCCTTCAGCCCTCAGCTCAGAGGACACGGGGACTGAGGTCCAAGGGCTCAGGGCCTAGAACTCTCAGCTCAGAGGACACGGGGACTGCAGACCAAGGGCTCAGGTCTGACAGCCCTAGCTCAGAGGTTGGACAGCCACACTGGCATCCAGAGGAGCAGGGGTCCCTCCAGGGGCCCCGTCTGCTAACCCCAAGGTCTGGAGACAGGAGCAGACTGTAACTGGGCGTGGGGTCTGAGAGTCCCACGTGGTCACCATGTGGTCTGAGTGTCCTGCGTGGTCACCGTGTGGTCTGAGTGTGCCGCGTGGTCACCGTGTGGACTGTGTCCTGCATGGTCACTGTGGGTGCATGTGGTCTGAGTGTCCCACGTGGTCACCGTG